ACCTTTCAGTTTTGCAGCAGTTTTTGTTCACGTATTTCAAATGTTAATATTTGTAAGTATCGGTGCATTATAATTTTGCATGTGCATTTTTGATATGTGCATGGCATTTTGTTACTTTTCCATATAATAGAAGACTATATGGACATATGTGTTTAATTTAACATTGCCTGCTTAGAAATTCCCTGTTACATAGTGAAAAGTTTTGAAAGTTTTGATATTAGTTGTTTGAAAAAAAAACACCAAAACCCTCTTTCCTGCCGTTTTTCACACTTCCCCCTCTCCACCACATCCGTTTGACCTGGTACACATAGCTTGTGCTGAGTACAACAGAAATGTTAATAAAAGTGATTAATACTTACTAAAGTATATTTCATTCTCTTTTTGCAGTTTTAATCATTGTTATCCATCCATGTGGCTTTCTTTTTCTGGTGCCAAAGGGAGACAAAAAGCAGGCATTGCATTGATAAATAAAAACATACACCTTTTTTATTTATTTGTTTATTTAAAGGAAGGATGGTGAAACTTGTTCCTCTCATGACCACGTTTCCCAACAACCGGCTTTAATGATCTGCTTTTTATCTCCCTTTAAAACATTGCATTTACTTCTTATTGCATCTTCATTAGTGAAGATGACAAAATGACCCATTGCATAAATGATTGCTGTTAAATTATAATATTAGAATACTTGAATCTTTCACTTGTTGCTAAAAAGCCGTTTTATAAAACTGATCGTTCCGGTCCTTGATTCTAATTGGCTGAGCCACGTTCGAAGCTGTTGTAAATTACTCTACAAACACACACCTTTGTTTACGTTTGTCTTTTGCTTGGAAACCACTTTGTTGCAACCACAACTGATTCTGAGGAACTGTTTGGTGGAAAAATACTGTTTTTATTAATATCATTACACTATATTTGCTCTGTTTTATTATGTGAAACCTTACTACGTATCTGGAATAACCGTTTTATAAAAGCAATAAGCCCTGTGAAGCTGTGGTTTACAGTGAATTTATATATATATACATTTGAATGTTCCTGTGGCTCAGCGGTCGAGCACTGCGTTAGCAGCGTAAAAGGTCGTAGGTTCAATTCCCAGGGAACACACATACTGGTAAAAAATGTATAGCCCGAATGCACTGTAAGTCGCTTTAAGCGTCTGCTAAATGCATAAATTATTAGCTGTTATAAATTCACTGTAAACCATGGCTTATTGCTTTAGTTTTCCACGGCTCTGGCAGAAACTGCCTTGTTGCTAGGAGACGCATGACAAATAGAAGCAACATGTTCTAAAATAGACTCAAATATCAAATGTGTTTGATCTCCTCCGACTGGATTAAATCAGTCTGAAGCTAAAAATCAAGAGTCTGTGACCATCACACATTACGTGATTTTTCTATGAAATCTGTCATCTCAAATCTGCAGACTGGCTCTTACTTTCAGCAACTAGTCAACTTCTTCAGACTGTAAATCGGGACAAAATTTGTGTCGTGTATTCCAGTCTTTAGAGGGTAGGTCTGATTTTTAGGGATATGATCTTTCTCCAGTACTGCCTTCATTTTCATCCTGCACGTCTTAAGTTAAGAATTGACATTTTGAAGGATGTATGTAGATAACCACAGATGTCTGCTGACTGAGTGATTGACTAAGCCAAAAGCAGGGGCGGTTTCTTCATTAGGACGATAGGGGTGACGCAAGGGAAGTACGAAAGGGAGGGACTCTTTCTATCACATTCAACCACAGTGTCACGCACTTGCTGCATCCCAATGTGCCTACTTATACTACGCCCTTATACTACTATGTACTCTTTTAGTGAAGAAAAAGTACACACTTTTGAGAAAGAATAGCTAAGCTTTGGGACATACTATCACGTAGGGCTGTGAATCTTTGGGTGGACAGCGAATCGATTCAATTCACGATTAATAGGTTTTCGATTCGATTCAAGAACGATTTTTGCAAATTCAGAACGATTCGATTCAATTCGATTCACAATTCGATTCTGCATTCACAGGATTATTTAAATGCTTCCCCTAAATTCTTTAAATGCTTAGTCAGGGGGCAAATTACACAGCAGCCTTTATGGTTAGAGAACCATATTTAGAGAAAAAAAACCTTTTGTCCATTGTTAGACGCTAGTTTAATGATGCTATGGCATGACATGGCATATGTAGCCAAAATGTTACATACAGTTATGCCAACAAAAAAAAAGAGCTTTAAAAGTATTATATAGGCTAACATTTTGTCACACCAGGGGCATAGCCATCATTTCAGAAGTGACAGAAATGTCAAATACAATAATTTTATGTATGTATGTATGTTTTGTTATGATTGTTTTTTTTTACAAGGAATTATTTTCTTATCTCTTACTTTGAATTTGCTATGCAATGCCCACCAGATTCTCCTTGTGCCCCCCCAAAAATGTCCAGCCAAAAAAATAAAATAAAATAAATAAAAAATAAGCATTAAACACTTATTATTTGTACTACTATCTAAATAAGGATCAGTCACTTTGTTCAAATGAAAAATTGACAATTATGCACATAATGACATTTGAACTCATAGCCACAAAATCTTATTATAAATAATAATAAAAAGCTAACTGTAACATCCAAGCAGAAAACACAACAGTGTATTTCTGTTCAGTGAAGTATAAAATTGCCTTTATTACAATCACAATCACCTGCTTGCCTGTAAGCCTAGTATATCCTATTTTAAATAAACTGTATACTGAATTTGTTTTTGTGTGAGTGTGTGTCTTCCTTCATTAGCCTTCATTGGCATGAACGGCTCTAATAGTTCCTGTATCAAATGAAGGTCCGCCTTCTGAAACACGAAATGTGCTGTGATTGGTTAGCTGGGCCATTGTGTGTT